ACAGCGTCGGCACCAGCGAGACGACGGCCAGTAATCAACGGCGAGATGTGTGATAGAGCGGCAGCATTGGGGTGCGGAGAAAACTAGTGGCCTCTAGCGGGCGATCTGGGAAACTCGGGCCTAAGTGCGAATTGAGGTGGCCATCGCCATGGATCAAGAACAGGAAAAGGGATAGGATAGAAGGGAAAGGAAAATCCAGTTGTCAAAGAAAAAAAAAAAAAAAAAAAAGCTAATCTCCAGGATGAACTGCTTACTCTAAAAACAATAATCCCGTTTAGTAGGTGCAGAAGAAAAGAAAACATCATTGTTCTGCAGCCCAGAATACCGAGGCAGGCAATAAAAATTATAATGAAGAATTCAATTTAAGAAGATGTTTTTAAACCCAGAGGTGGTAGCACACTCATTTAATCCCAGCACTGGAGAGTCAGAGGCAGGCCGACCCGAGTTCCAGGCCAGCATGGTCTGCAGAGCAAGTCCCAGGACAGTCAGGGCTACACAGAAACTGTGTCTTTAAAAAGAAAAGGAAAGAAGAAGAAAGGAGGAGAATATTCTTAGATGTTCTTAGGGAATAGAGTGTGATGGTGGTGCTAAATGTCACCACACAGACTATTTTCAACTGTACAATAATAAAGTAACTTTAAATAGAGAGATCTGACAAGTTCCCGCCTTAACCAAGTTAAGCAATCAAACTTCATTAGTATAACTTTGATAATGTGAGATCCTCGATGAGATATGACTTATCTATTATACTACTATACTTCTTGAATATAATTCCTGCTAAAAACGGTTTATCTTGTTATTAGATCTAATTTGGCATTTACAGTGACAAAGGAACAAGTTAAACATCATCGGTACAAGAAGATATTCTGGCTGAGCGACAGTGGCCCACGCCTTTAATCCCAGAATCTGGGAGGCAGAGGCAGGGAGATCTCTTGAGTGGGAGGCCCATACCCTGTCTGGGGGCGGGGGAGAAAAAAGAAAGTAAGTCTTTGGGCAAGTACAGTGAGTGATGCTCTGGGGAAGTTAAGGAAGACAATGGTGAATCCCAGGACATCCAGGAATGCACAGCATTGCTGTTTTGTTGTTCCTTGCTTTGTTTTTGTTTCTTAAAAACGTTCTGAAAATCCAGAATGTTGCACACTCCACAATACAACTATTGTGGTTTCTTTAAAAAGGCAATAAACTTTTAAATGTTTATTTTAACTCATGTATCGGTTTTTGTTTGCATACCACATGTGTGCCTTCCAGAAGAGGATGTCAAAGCCGGTGATACTGGAGTTACAAATGGTGTGAGCCATCATGTGAGTGCTAGCAAGTGAACTTGGGTCCTCTGCAAGCACAGCAAGTGCTCTTAAGCCTTAAGCTATTTCTCCAGCCTGCAATAAACTTTTTAAAATATTATCTTGTATGTGTATACACAAACTGTGTGTGTGTGTGTCCACCACAGCATGAGGAAATCAAAGGGTGACTTTTAGGAGGACTCAGTTCTCTCCTTCAGTCTGGAAATCAGACTCAAGACATCTGGCTTAATGGCAAATGTCTTTTCCACCTTGTGGAGCCATCTCACTGGCCCTCAGAGCTGGAAAGATCTCAGTAGTTAAAAGCACTGACTGCTCTTCCAGAGGATCCGGGATCCATCTCCAAAATCAACTAAGGATCGGTCTCACACTGGCTATAACATCAATTACGTAGGATGGAATGCCCTCTTCTGTACTCCTCAGGCACTGCATGCAAGTAGTGCACACATATGGCAGGCAAAACACACACACAATAAAAAAAAAAAGAAAAAAAAAAAAAGAACAGATAAGTCTGTCAGGAGTGGTAGCACACACCTTTAATCCAGCACTCTGGAGACTGAGGCAGGCAGATCTGTTTGAAGTCAGTCTGATCTACATATAGCAAGTTCCAGGACAGCAAGTGCAACATACTAAGATCTACTCTCAAAAAACAAAAAGTAATATTTGCTGCTCTTATAAATGAGCCAAGCTGGGTCCTTAGTAGATGGCTCACAATTCCCTGAAACTCCATCTTCAGGGATCTGACCACCTCTTATGGACTCAAGGGCACCTACACTCTAATGTGTGCATAACCACCACACAGACACACATACACATAGATATCTTATTCTTTTTTTGTTTGGTTGGTTTTAGATTTTTGAGACAGGGTTTCTCTGTATAGGCTTGGCTGTCCTGGAACTGATTTTGTAGACCAGTATACTAGGCTGGCCTCCAACTCACAGAGATCCACCTGCTTCTGCCTCCCGAGTGCTGGGATTAAAGATGTGCACCACCACTACTTGGCCACCACTGCCATTTCTAAAGTGGCTTTTAATTCCAGCACTTTCGAGGCAGAGGAAGGCTGATCTGTGATCAAGGCCAGTGTGGGCTATACAGGGAGTTCCAGCCCAGCACTCAGGAGGCAGAGGCAGGTGGATCTCTTGAGCGTTCAAGGCCAACCTGGTCTACAGAGTGAGTGCCTGGACAGGCTCCAAAGCAATACAGAGAAACCCTGTCTCAGAAAAACAAAAAAAAATTTTTTTGAAAGAATAGTTCCTGCTCTTGCACAGGTCCTAGTTTCTATTCTAGCACCCATACCAGGCAGGTGACAAGTCACCTGTAACTCAGTTCTATCGGATCTCATGCCCTTTGGCCTTCATGGGCACTTGCATGCAAGTGGTGTACATACATTTATGCAGGCACATACACATACAAAACACATCTTTTTAAAGTGAGGGGGGGAAGAAAGGAGATAAAGAGGGGAAGCAAGAGAAAAGTTAATCTGATAGCAGTATCTGATTGTGGATCAAGAAATTCTCCAAAGCCAGCCAGTGGTGGTGCACACCTTTGATCCCAGCACTTGGGAGGCAGAGACAGGTGAATCTCTGTGAGTTCAAGACAAGCCTGGTCTACAGAGTGAGTTCCAAGACAGGCTACAAAGCTACACAGGGAAAAACGTGTTTCAAAACACAAAAACAGGAAGGAAGGAAGAAAGCAAGTTCTCCAAAGCAAAAATGAATGAACTTGCCTAGGATCACAAAACATTTATCTATGGAAATTATTTCAACAAACCAGCAAACTGAAGATGAATAATGGCATAAACCATTATTCATGGTCCCTAAAGCTAAACTGTTACCTTGCATATTTTTTTAAGATTTGATTTTCTCTTATGTATGTGTGTTTAGCTGTTTGTATATGTGTACTGTGTGCCTTGTGCCTACAAGACCATCAGAGACTGATACTGGTTTTGTTTCTATGGTTGTTTGTTTTGAGACAGAATAGTATAACCCTGGATGTCCTGGATCTCACTCTGTAGACCAGGCTGGCCTAGAATTCACAGAGATCCACCTGCCTCCCAAGAGCTGGGATTTAAAAAGGCATGTGCCTATCTTGCTATAGTCTTAAGTTAGTACAGCAAGATTTACACTGAGTGTGGGAAAGAATAAGCAACCCACAAGATCTAAAAATACAAGTTCAGAGGCTAGAGATGGCTCAGCAATTAATAGCACATACTGCTTTTGTAGAGGATCAGAGTTCAATTCCCGGCACCCACATTAGGTGACTCACAGCTACCTGTAGCTCCAGCTCCAGGGGATATGATACACTTGAATTCATATGTACAAACACAACTTTGTATGAAACTGAAATAAATCTTACTTCAAAAAAGAAAACGCTTGAGAACTATATCCCTGTTGGGAGCATGGACTGATTCGAAAAGCTTGGGTGCAAATCCCATGCTTTCCGAAGCCAGGCCACTCATGGAATTGGGAAAAGCCAACGAAGAGTGGGGAAGACTAGAGTTGGGACCCATTTATACTAGGCACAACCAGAACTTACATCTTCAGGGGTGTAAACACATGCTAGAGTTTCAGCTGGAAATCTAAATCATTAGGAAATGATATTTTAACAAGACAGTGGTCCTTCCAAATGCCTTAGCCAGATATAGCCTACAGCTTCCATGGGTAGTGGTGGTGCATGCCTTTAGTCCCAGCACTAGGGAGGTAGATGGATCTCTGTGAGTTCAAGACCAGCCTGGTATACAAAAGCTAGTTCCAGGATAGCCTCCAAAACCACAGAGAAACCCTGTCTTGAGAAAAAAAAGAGAGAAAGAAAGAAATGAAGAAAGGAAAAGAAAGAAAGAAAGAAAGAAAGAAAGAAAGAAAGAAAGAAAGAAAGAAAAAAGAAATAGCCTCCAATTCCCTACTGTAAAGGAGCACTGCTTCTCTCTCCTAATCCCTGTAGGTGATGCCTGTTATTGGTTATCAACTTTATTACATCTGGGATTAACAAAAACCCATGCAGTAGGGTACTCCTGTAAGGGATTATTATTTTCTTAAATCATTTGAAATGGGAAGATATACTTTTTTTTTTTTTCCAAGCTGGCCTCAAACTCAGATCCACCTGCCTCTGCCTCCCAAGTGCTGGGATAAAAATTGTCCACTGTCAGCACAGCCACCAGCCCCACCCTGACCCAGCAAGACCCACTTTTAATCCAGATCTTTTGAGGCAGGAAGACCCACTTTTAACCTATATACAGGACATGGAGAAAGAAAGCGCTCTCATTGACTGGTTGCTCTCTGGGAAGTCCATTCCTTCACTGGCATTAAAAGCCTACTTCTTCAGGGTTCTGGTGTATACTGAAAAGCATCCAGCTTTATGGACTGCACAAGTACTGGATTCTTCAGGTGGTAGGCAGCCATTGTTGGACTATAGACTAGCTGGACCACAGCCTATAAGCCATTCTAATAAAATCCAAATGTATCATATTTTTTCTATAAGTTCTGTTCCTCTAGAGAACCCGGACTAATACACTAATAAAATACTTTCTAAATTGAAAACAAACAAACCTGGGCTGGGGAGTCCAGTTATTAGAATGTTTACCTACCATGCACAAAGTCCTAGATTTAGGCCCCAGCACTATATAAAAACAGGCATGCTGGCACACAGCACATCTGTAATCCCAGCCCTCAGTAGAAACAAGATCAGGAAAGATGTCAATCCTTGGCTACATATTGAGCTTGAGGTTTGGGCTACATGAGACCATCAACTAGTTTTTTGTTGAAAATTAAACCAGGCAGTGGTGCCTCTAATCCCAACACTCAGAAGGCAGAGGCAGACAGAGTAAGAGACCAGCCTGGTCTAAGACAGCCAGAGGCTAAAAAAGGGAAACCCGTCTCAAAAAAAAAAAAAAAAAAAAAAAAAAAAAAAAAAAATAAGTGTGGAGATGGAGAGACTGCTCTTCCAAAGGGTCTAAGGTTGGTTGATTCCCAGACATTCAAATGGTCTGTAACTCCAGTATCAGGGGATCCTGTGCCCTCTTCTGGCCACCACAGGAACTGCACACATACAATGCATACACATACATGAAGACACCTGTAATATATATAGTCTCTTATTCAGTAGATCAATGGCAGAACCACAATTTCTCCCTTAAATTGATGAGCAGCCAAATATTGAAGACCTCTGTAGCAATCTGGGCATGGTGGCTCACTCCTTCAATCCCAGCCTTGGAGGCAGAGGAAGGTAGATGTCTGTGAGTTCCAGTCTAGCCTGGTCTATGTATTGTTCATTTCAGGCCAGCCACGGATAATACTGAGACCCTGTCTTGAAGAAAACCTCTGTAGCAAATGAAAATATATGCTATTGTTGGACAGTGGTGGCACACATCTATAATCCCAGCACTCTCGAGTCAGAGAGGCAAGAGGATCTCTGATATTGAGGCCAGCCTGGCCAGTTCTAAGACAGCCAGAGCTACACAGTAGTGTCCTTCTCACTGATACACTGGAGATGTAACTCAGTTGGTAAAGTATGCCCATAAGCAAGGTGTGGCAGCTCAAGCTTGTGATCTTAGCACTCTGAAGGTAGAAACAGGAGGATCAGTACACCAAGGTAACCTTTAACTATATAGTGTAGCCTGGGTGGTGTGAGAATCTCAGAGGAAGAAGGAAAAAAAAAAAAAGAGGTGATACACTTTAAAGAGTAGCAAAAGTAGCCCGGGGTATTGAGCCCAGTCAAGGTAATGGCACAGGTGAGCAGTGGCCAGGAAAATAGCTTTTATTTGGACATAAGAGCCATCTGAGATAACATATAACTAAGGAATAGACTAAGTTCCAAGAGCTCATCAAGTAAAGTGACTCCACTTCCCAGTAGCTCTGTACTTACTGCAATCAATACAAAGCCTGCTGGGAACAGAGTTGCCACTCAGTCACCCTAATGTGCCATCATTACAAAAGTACAGGTTTTTGATCATAAATTTTCACAATCCCCAGTCACAAGCATTACAAAAGAAAACGGAAAGATCACCATGGCGAAGATCTTAAAACTGTCTTCACCATTTAGTTCAGAGGTCTCACCATCTTCAAAAGACAGTTCCCCTGCTGACCTCATCAACTATGACATCAAGCAGGGACAGGCAGCTTTTGCCAGCCCATGGCAATCTTCTTCCCATTCTCCCTAGACAGCCGGGCTGAACAGCAGGGGAGGCACAGGGAGGAGTAGGGTGGGAGCAGAGGGTAATCTCCCTCAGTACAAGGTGACAGCTGAAGCTTGATGGGAGAGCTGGTGAGACGAGGGGAGGAGGGTCCAGGCCCTGCATTCAGTCAGAGTCACTGCTGGAGGAGGAGGAGGAAGAGGAGGAATGCTGCAAGGGGAAAGAACATAGCATCAGATCCAAATGACCTTTCATCCCTCCAGGGGCCATTCTTCGATGCCCCGCCCTTCCACCCAGGTATCTAGTAGGCAGGAGTCTTAGCCCATCCTGCCCCATAACCAACAAAATCAACAGTTTCCTTCAGCAAGGAGCATAATGGAACAGATTAAACTGCCCTCCACCACTGCACAGAACTGAACATATTGTTGCCTTCAGATGGAGTTTCTTCTTTCCACAGCTAGGCAAGGCCAGGAACATGGAATAAATAAACATAGCACCGATCTATAAAACAGCTGTTACCTTATAAATACCTGTTGATTGGCTGCAAGTAAGGACCATCACAAACTAGAATCTATGCACCTAAGAGAGGGCAGCTGTGTGAGGTGATGCTGTACCTCTAAACCCCACCAGGGGGAAACAGGAAAGTGGGAGAGACAGATGGCTGGAGATATCCCATTCAAGGACCCATACAGACACACCTCTATCAACTACCACTAAAAACATGTTTAGATTCTCCAGGGTTTTCTCCTTCATTTGGTCTCTCGTTCTTTGCTCCTGACAGTTCCACCAAAGACCTAGAATAGGACTAGAGCCTGAATCCACAAAGCAAACATTGGGCATAAAATCTAAGTGAAGCTCAGAGACCCAGGTAGGTCCTCTCCTTCCCAAGTCCTCAAGGAAACTTCTCCCACCCTCCCTAATAATAATTAGCATTCCTGCAGAAGGAAGATAAATACCCCAGGGTTTGTTGGAGGCTGAGTCACAGAAGAAATGCCTAGGTAATTAACAACACCCTGAGAATACGGAAGGAGATAAAGGAAACCCTGGAACCAAGTCCATGTTTACCATTCTGTTAATTATCATATGTGGTTTTACTTTGTCAAAAGACTCACTCAATTGACAATTAGACAACCTCAGGGGGTATGCCCAACTTGCCAAAAGATACACCTGGAGGGTCTTGGGTTGGGGATGTTTCTGGGAAAGAATTAGGCAGAGAAGGGAGAGGACTCTTGGTTCTGATAGCCACCAATGCTTAGCTTTTCCTTTTCAGAAACAGGAGAGATCTGATGCCTCGATAGTATTATTACACTCCTATCAGGAGAATTCTTTTACATAAAGGAAAAGTCACCTGCCATCTCCCACACCCACAAACCGTGAGCCCCTTCCCCAACCCCGCTCACTCCAGTCCCTCTGATGGACACCCCTTCCCTCCCCAGCCATGCTCTCAGAAACTGACCTTTCCATGCTTGTGTTGTTTGTGAATCTTTTTATGAGCCTTCTTCATTTTCTTCCGTGTCTTCTTGTCTATCACCATCCCTGGGCCTACCATTCCAGGAGCCAAAGGATTCACAGGGCACATGCCAGGAGCAGGTGGTGGGTACGGGGGAGGGTGGGGCCCTGAGGGTTGGTATCCTGGACACCCTGGTTGTGGTACAGGGTAAGGGGGGCGACATGGAGGGAAAGCTGGGTTTCCCTGGGGTATTCCTGGAGGACAGGGGCCAGGAGGAAAGGCAGGGTTGATAGGTGGTGGACAGGCAGGATTGGGAACTCCTGGGCACAAGGCTTGGGGTGGATATGGGTTAGGCCCTGGAAAAAGAACCAGGGAATAAAAATTAGAACTTTCCAGAACCTCTGTCAACAAATAACAAAATCCACTGCATTCCTTAACACTGTTGGAAAGGGGAAAGCTTGGTAGCAGTGGTCCAAGGCTTCACTTTTGCTTGCGGGTGGGGGCTGTAGATACAGAAACTGCCTGTTCCATTGCAAAATGGGCTGGGTGGGGCAGAGGCGAGCCCCCAGGTACTTACCAGCATTAGGGTTCCACATGTCCAGATGTTAGTTCCAGCCTAAGAAGGAAAAGAGGCAAAAATCTGAAAGTCCTAGGAGGGGAAGAGAATTTTCTAGAGTCTGAGCCCCACCCTCCAGCCTCCGCCTTACAAAGGCTCTAACTAATAGGCGTGTGGTAGCCCACGTCTTTAGTTCCAGTGCTAAACAGAGGCAGGCGGATCTCTGTGTTCAAGGCCAGTCTGGTCTACAGAGAGAGTTCTGGGACAGCCAGGCTTACCCAGAGAAACCCTGTCTCAAAAACAAAAAACAAAAATAAATAAGAACTTCCTCTTTTTAGCGCCCTCTAGGCCTACTCTAGCCCAGGGTCAAAACCACAGAAATTCTATGGGCCCCTCCCATTTTCACTACCTCAAGCCACACCTGGAGAAAACTAACTCTCCCCATCACTCATTTCCCTTTTCCCGGAAAGGAACGGGAGGTCTTTAAGCACAGGCAGTGCGAGAGAGAACCTCAAACCACCTAAACTCTGCGGCCCGCCCCCGATGAGGAGTTTAGAAAAGGACCCCGCCCTAGAGCAGCAAGAGGAAGGAACCTCCATGTCCTCAAACGCTTAGACAAGGAAACACACACACACACACCAAAAAAAGAGCAAATCCTCAAATGCTTAGACAAGGAAACACACACACACACACACACACACACACACACACACACACGGGGGGGGGGGTGCGGGGGCAAACGGAATTCCTAGTTCCCATATATAAACAGACCCCTGATCCCTATTCAGAGAAAAGAAGGGAATTAGGGAGGCCAGAGGCCCAGTCACCTGTCACCTCCCGAAAACAGCTGGGCCTGCTACTGCCGTCCGCCTTTCCAGTCTGAGTTCGCACTTCCTGGTCACCCTATTCATTCTATGCCTCCGCACCGCCCCTGTGACCTAGTTGATAATTATGTGGTCACTCGGCATGATGATTGGAGAGCTGACTTGTCAATCGCTGTGGTCCAACTAAACTAGGAGGAAACGGTTGCTCAAGCCTCGAGGCGGAGCCTTTTGGGAAGCATTGCATGATGAAATACCGACACACAGGTGAAATACAGAAACGCAGCAGAAACGCTCCTTATGGCGAAGCCCGGGCAGAGCCAGCTGCAAGCAAAGACCCTGAGACACCGAGATAAACGCTCACTGGGTTACTGGTTTAATTAGGTTTTTAAATTTATTTTTTCATGAGTATGACTGTTCTGCCTGAATGTATGTATGTGCTTGATGACAGCGGAAGTCATCAAATCCCCTGGAATTGTAGTTGCTAATGGTTGTGAGCAACTATGTGGGTGCTGAGCACTGAACCCAGGTACTATGCAAGAGAAGCAAGTGTTAACTATTGAGCCATGTCTCCAGTCCCTGATATTGGTTTAAAGTTACAGTGATTATCTTGGGAGTTGTTTGGGGGGGGGCGGGGAGCGTGCAAGCCTAGCCTAGTGGCACTTGTCTGTAACCTAGCGCTTGGAAAGTGGAGGAGGAAAATCATAATTCAAGACCAGCGGTAGCTTCTGGTCGAGATTGAAGCCAACCAATTCTACTTAAAACAACAGAGGTAAGTAGAGCAGTTGGGGCGCACACCTTTATTCTCAGCACTACGGAAGCAGAGGCAGGCTAATCTCTGTTAGTTCAAGAGCTTGGTCTATATAGATCAAGTGATAGGACAGTGGAGGCTACACAAACTCTGTCGGAAGCGCGGGGTGGGGGTGGGGGGCCCGAAGGTGCTGCTGAGTCCCAGCCCCAAGCCTCGGTATCGCCAGCCTGTGAAAAGCAAAGACACATTCTTGAGGGGATTCCCTAATCTCTCACAAAACTCCATTTTATTGCTCTGTCATCTGTGGGGTTGCTTGAAACAAAAACTTAGGTCATCCCAGCCACCTCATTATGCTCTAGGTCACCCACCATGCCTCTTCTACCTTTCCCTTTCACCCTAACCCCAGTGCAACACAAGTTATATTTTTACCTCCCAAATACATCTGGAATTCCTCTACCTCTATCTTCCTTGTCCCCAGCCTGCCATAATGTCCTGGATTGCTACAATTGCCCCTTTCCTTCTATATATATATATAATTTTTATTTTCATTGTCTGTGCATTGATGTTTTGCCTGCATGTGTGTCTGTGTGAGGATGTCAGATCCCCTGGAACCAGAGTTATAGACTGTTGTGAACTGCCATATGGGTTCTAGGGATTGCACCCGGGTCCTCTGGAAAAACAGCTGGTTCTCTTAACCACTGACTGTCTCTCCAGCCTCACAAATGTCCCTTTCTTATTTGGTTGGTTGGTTGGTTTTGGTTACCCTGTGCAGCACACATTTAAGGATTGATCCTTTTTCCTAAGCACATTGAAAATATTTACAAGAAGAGTTAACAGAGCATGCATGGTGGTGCTTCCCTGTAACCCCTGCAGGGTTAGGCAGGCGCAGCAGAGGATGTGGAGTTCAAGGTCACCTCCCCTACTATTACATTTCAAGTTCAAGATTAGCTGGGCTATATGAGACCTGTATGGGGGAAGGGAGATCATTACATCCTCAGTCAACTATATTTAAATTAATGTAATCAATTACTAGAGGATTGTATAATACATACCATATATTATTTGGGGTCTTGGTTTATTTGAGACAGGGACTCCCTTTGTAGTCTGGACTGGCCTGGAGCTTGCTATATAGACCAGACTGTTCTCAAACTTTTTTTTTAATTCTTTAATTACTACTCATATTTACGTATCCATCCCCCTCATTCCCTTGCCCACCAGTCCCCCCCAACCCATCCCCCAACTCCTCCCCAGGGATAGTGAGGCCCTCCACCAGGGACCTTCGAAGTCCATCATATCATTTGGGAGAGGGCCTAGGCCCTCCTTGCTGTATCTGGGCTGCAATAGTATCCCTCCATAGGGAATGGGCTCCCAAAGTCCATTTTTGCTCTAAGGATAAAGACTGGCTCCACTGTTAGAGGTCCCATAGACTGCCTTGGCATCCTAGCTGGCACCCACATTTAGAGGGCTTGGTTTGGTTCAATGCTGTTTCCCTAGCTTTATGACTAGGGTCTCCATGCTATCAGCAGGTCAGGTCCACTGTTTCTGCGGGTTTCTCCAGCACCGTCTTGGCTCCTTTGCTCATCCCTCCTCCCTCTACACAACTGAATTCCAGTAATATGGTTCAGTGCTTAGCTGTGGGCGCCTATTTCTGCTTCTAACAGCTACTGGATGAAGGCTCTAGGAATGGTAACCAAGGTAGACACCAATCTCATTATAGGGGAAGGGCATTAATGGCATCTTCACCACCACTGCCTGGCTTCTTAGTTGGGGTCATCCCTGTGGATCCCCTAACATTTCCCCTGTGCCAAACCTCTCTCCATACCTGTACTGTCTCCCTCTATCAAGGCATCTCCTTTCTTACCCTCCTCTATTCCTCCCCTGTCTCAGTCCTCTTGTTCTCCTACCCACTCTCCGTCTTCCCTTCCTACCTCCTTCCTCCCCCCCTCCCACTTTGGTCAGGGGTTCTTGTCCCCATCCCCTTCTTCGAGGGACTATGCAATCTTCTCTTGGGGTCCTCCTTGTTTCCTAACTCCTCTAGCAGTGTGGATTGTAGACTGGTAATCCTTTGCTCTGTGTCTAAAAATCATGTATGAGTGAGTACATACCATGTTTATCTTTTTGTGACTGGGTTACCTCACTCAGGATGGTTTCTTCTAGTAACATCCATTTGCCTTCGAATTTCAAGATTCCATTGTTTTTTTCCGCTGAGTAGTACTCCATTGTGTAAATGTACCACATTTTCTCTATCCATTCTTCAGTTGAGGGGCATTTAGGTTGCTTCTAGGTTCTGGCTATTACAAATAATGCTGCTATGAACATAATTGAACAGATGTCCTTGTTGTATGAACGCCCAAGAGAGGAATGGCTGGATCTTGAGGTAGACTCATTCCCATTTTCCTGAGAAACCGCCATACTGATTTCCAAAGTGGTTGTACAAGTTGGCACTCCCACCAGTAATGGAGCAGAGTTCCTCTTTCTCCACATCGTCTCCAGCATAGATTGTCATTGGTGTTATTGATTTTAGCCTTTCTGAGATAGTATCTCAGAGTGGTTTTGAGCTGCATTTCCCTGATGGCTAAGGATGTTGAGCCCTTTCTCAAGTGTCTTTCAGTCATTTTGGATTCCTCTGTTGAGAATTCTCTATTGAGTTCTGCACTCCAACTTTTTAATTGCATTATTTGGTGTTTTGGTGGCCAGCTTCTTGAGTTCATTGTATATTTTGGTGATCATCCCTCTGTCAGATGTGGGGTTGATGAATATCTTTTCCCATTCTGTGGGCTGGTGTGGGTTAATAGCAGGGTTTTCAATTCGATTCCATTGGTCTACCTGTCTATTTTTGTGCCAATACCAAGCTGTTTTCAGAACTATGGCTCTATAATAGAGCCATCAGGGATGGTGATGCCTCCGGAAGTTCCTTATTGAACAGGGTTGTTTTGGCTATCCTGGGTTTTTTGTTTTTCCATATGAAGTTGAGTATTGTTCTTTGAAGGTCTCTTCCTTCTTCCTGGTCTCAAACTTATAGCAATCCTTCTGCCTCTGCCTCCTTGGCTATAGTCATATGTGACTATACCATGTTCTTTCTTCCTTTCTTCTTTTTATTTTTTTGTGGAGAGACAGAGTAAGAGAGGGTCTCAATATGCCCAGTATGTAACCAGACTCTTCCTTCCAGATGCTTCTATCAGAGTTTCATGCTGTTGTCCCTGTTGTAGAGTATTATTTTAAGGTGTGTCACATCTGTTTATGCTGTGGAACATTTGTTTTAATAATTCAAAGATATGTTGCATTCTTTTTTTTGAGACATGGTTTCTCTGTGTAGCTTTGGAGCCTACCCTGGAACTCACTCTGGAGACCAGGCTGGCCTCGAACTCACAGAGATCCGCCTGCCTCTGCCTCCCGAGTGCTGGGATTAAAGGTGTGTGCCACCAACGCCCAGCATGTTGCATTCTTTTATGTTGCATTTGTTTAACTCTGTGAAGCTGTGATTCTTGCCTGTCTAAAACACCTGATTGTTTAATAAAGAGCTGAATGGCCAATATCAAGGAAGGAGAAAGGATACTTGGGGTTGGCAGGCAGAGAGAAAAAAACTAGGAGGAGAAATCCGGGAAAAAGAAGAGAAAGAACAAGAGAACAAGGAGAGGAGGACATCAGGGGCCAGCAACCCACCTACACAACCAGCCACAGAGTAAAAGTGAAAGTAAGATATACAGAAGTAAGAAAAGGAAAAAGCCCAGAGGCAAAAGGGAGATGGGATAAATTAAGTTACGAAAAGCTGGCTAGGGGCTGGAGAGATGGCTCAGAGGTTAAGAGCACTGGCTACTCTTCTAGGGGTCCTGAGTTTAATTCCCAGCAACCATAAGTTGGCTCACAACCACCTGTAATGAGATCTGCTGCCCTCTTTTGGCCTGCAGGCAGAACACTGTATACATTATATAATCTTTAAACAAAAAAGAAAGATAAGCTGGCTAGAAATAAGCCAAGCTAAGGCCTGTTGTTGTTTTATAAAGAATGTTGTGAAATATTAATTTTTTTCTGGTTTTTCCAGACAGGGTTTCTCTGTGGCTTTGGAGGCTGTCCTGGAACTAGCTCTTGTAGACTAGGCTGGTCTTGACCTCAGAGATCCACCTGCCTCTGCCTCCTAAGTGCTGGGACTAAAGGCGTGTGGCTGTCGGACGGAAATAACAATTTTTTTAAAAGATTTTATTTATTTATTATATATACAACATTCTGCTTCCATGTATATCTGCACACCAGAAGAGGGCACCAGATCTCATAACAGATGTTTTTGTTTTGTTTTTTTTTGAAGAGGAAATATCAATTTTTAAATGATTTTATTTACATATTATATATACAGTGTTCTGTCCCCAGGTATTAC